AAAAAAAAAAAAAAAAATATATATATATATATGCACAGAACAGTAAATTAAATTTTTTTCTTTATAAAGCAAAAATAAAATGTGAAATGTAAAATCTTTGTGTGGAACCACTAAATGCAGTTTGGAGAACATATTTTAATGCATTCTTCTGGCAACACCAGATTCTACCTCTATTTTTTAATTTAATTTAATTTTGTTTATTTTATTTCATTTGCATCAGGTTCTCACTCTGTTGCCCAGGCTGGAGTGCAGTGGTACAATCACGGCTTATCACAGCCTGGACCTCTTGGGTTCAGGCAATTCTTCCACATCAGTCTCCCAAGTAGCTGGGACTACAGGCGTGTCCCACCACACCCAGTTAATTTCTCAATTTTTTTTTGAGACAAGCTCTCACTATATTCTTCACCATATTCCTAGGCTGCTCTCAAACTCCTGGGCTTAAGCAACCATCCACCTTGGCCTCCTAAAGTGCTGATATTACAGGCGTGAGCCACCATGCCCAGCCTCTTTGCTACAATTTTAAGTAATCAGTTTTGAAAAGATGCATTTTAAAATAAAGATGTTATAATAAGATCAACTGAATAACCTTATAAGGAGATGATGTTATTCGTTCTCCAAATAGTACTTGTCCAAGATTTTCAGATGGTCTTTTCTTTTCAGAGTCCTGACAGAAGTCAAAACTAAAAGAGGAAAGGTTCGAGTAAGATAAAAACATAAATAAATCAATATTTGTAACTTATATAGCCTCTCCACTGTTAATGCTATTTCTTCACAAAAGACCCAGAATATACCTAATTATGATTTATAGACTTCATTATATATTTCTTTAGGTTGCTTCACCTCTGAAAACTATGAATTCATGATTTTAAATCTTTATGTGACTGCTCTTGACTTTTTAAATGTAGGTAATTACAATCTTTAAAAAAACTCATAGTATTTTCAGAGTTAAACTTCAAATTACATAATAAGACACAAGCAATAGTTGTTTTGTTTTTTTGTTTTTTGGTTTTTTTTGAGTCAGAGTCTCACTCGCCCAGGCTGGAATGCAGTGGTATGCTCACAGCCACAGCACCCTTGACCTGCGGGGCTCAGGTGATCCTTTCGCCTCAGCCTTCCAAGTAGCTGGAACTACAGGCATGTGCCACCATACCCATATAATGTTTTGATTTATTGTAGAGATGAAGTCTCACCATGTTGCCCAGGCTGGTCTCAAACCCCTGGACTCAGGCAATCCTCTCGCCTCCAACAAGCAATAATTTAAAGCCTGTACTAATTCTAACTTGAGACATTTAGAAAGTATAATTATCAGCCGGGCTCGGCTCAGCCTGTAATCCCAGTGCTTTGGGAGGCTGAGGTTAGTGGATTGCCTGAGCCCGTGGGTTCGAGACCCGCCTGGGCAACTTGGTGAGACCTCATCTCTACAATAAATCAAAAAATTAGCCGGGCATGGGAGTGCACACCTGTAGTTCCAGCTACTTGGAAGGCTGAGGCGGAAGGGTCACCAGAGCCCAGCAGGTTGAGGCTGCAGTGGCCGGGGGCGTGCCACTGCACTCCAGTCTGGGTGACAAAGTGAGACTCCAACTCAAAAAAAAAAAGAAAAAAGAAATTGTAATTATCAGTTCTGATCAAAGGAGAATTTTTTCTTAGTTGAATTCTCTGTCGCCCAGGCTGGGGTGCAGTGGCACACTCACGGCCATCCCAGCGTCAACTTGTTGGGCTCCTGCGATCCTTTCGCCTCAGCCTTCCAAGTAGCCTGAACTACAGTCACGTGCTACCACAATTGGCTAATTAGTTTGATTTATTGTAGAGATTATCATCTCACCAAGTTGCTGCACAGGCTGGTCTCAAGCCCCCGGGCTCAGGCAATCCACTGCCTCAGCCTCCCAAATTGCTGGGATTACAGGTTGAGCCACCGAGTTGGCCAATCAAAGGAGAATTTAAAGAACAAAGTCTTCCCCAAACACATTTTCACATACTCATTCACAAATCAAAGGGCTAGAGGTAAAAAGAATTACGGCTACCTTTCAGTAAATTTGAATATAAAATGCCTCAAGTAGAAGACAAAATGAATAATAGTCTTGCATAGTATTTTAAATACTCATACTCACCCTTCATTTATACTAGGTATTTTAATAGAAATTAAATCTGATTTTATTTCTGCTTAATTCAAGGGAAAAAAACCAAAGGGAACTAAAATCATTTTTTTTCTAAAACTACTTCATTTGCCAGGCAGTGGCGCAGGCCTGTAATTGCAGCACTTTGGGAGGTGGAGGCAAGAGGACTGTCTGAGCCCAGCGTTCGAGACCAGACTGAGCAACTTGACGAGACCACATCTCTACAATAAATCAAAAAATAAGCTGGGTGTGGTAGTGCGTGCCTGTAGTTCCAGCTACTTGGAAGGTTGAGGAGGAAGGATTGCCGGAGACCAGCAGGTCAAGGCTGAGGTGGCTGTGAGTGTGCCACTGCACTCCAGTCTGGGTGACAGAGTGAGACTCCTACTCAAAAAAATAAATAAATAAAATTCTTCATTTATTGTTATTCTCAAATGACTGATCATGTAATAACTGCTCCCTACTAAACTAAGCATCTTCATACATTGGAAACTTCAGTATAAACTTGTATATTACATTTTTTAGAAATAAGCTATAATTCTGCAAATGTTTTAAAGTCCAAAGTGTAGTAAATTTATAGTTTGCCTTTTTGCCTTTTTTTTTTTTTTTTTTTTTTTTTTTGGTCCTGAGTGTGCCACTGAGTGACAGAGTGAGACTCCAACTCAAAAAAACAAAAAATCCAATTTTCTACTTTTTTTTTTTTGAGTTGCAGTCTTACTCTGTGTCCCAGGCTGGAGTGCAGTGACATGCTGCTCACAGCCACCACAGCCTCGACCTGCTGGGCTCAAGTGATCCTTCTGCTTCAGCCTTCCAAGTAACTAAAACAACAGGCATATGCCACCACACCCAGCTAATTTTTTGATTTATTGTAGAGACAAGGTCTCGCCATGTTGCTTAGGCAGGTCTCAAACCCCTGAACTCAGGCAATCCTCTTGCCTCTGCCTCCCAAGGTGCTGTAATTACAGGGATGAGCCACTGCACCCAACTAACTTCCTTTGTCACACATTGAAAGCTTTGTATTCTAATCATTTCTCCTGTTACGTTTATTACAAAATTACCACCACATTTGTTAATATATTCAGGGTTTTCACTCATTATCTTGGAAAACTTAAGACACATATTAACACAATTGTATCATACCACACTTACGTATCATATTCATAAGGTAGCACAGATTTCGCTGAGTCCAATCTATTTACAAATAGTGCCACTGATGACTAAAAGAAAAGAAGAAGGACATGTATTAATAACACAAAGTAAAATAAGGTAGCACTCCAAATACATAATAAATTAACCCAAATGTAATTGGGTCTATTGCTATCATCAATTTATAACTGTATAGTTATAAATTTATAATTTATTATAGTTATAAATTTATAACAGTTATAAATTTATAACTCAGTACAATTATAAATTTTTAATATAGTATAGCTATAAATTCATAACATTTCATTTATCTATCATTACTGGGTTCTCAGATTCGCAAATTTTTCAGATACCTCAGCCATTCTTAACCTGTTTTTAATTATAGAACCCTTTGAAAGTATGATGAAAGCCATGGTTCCTCTCCCCAGAAAAACACACATTTTCACTAAATCCTCAGTTCAGTTTTAAGAGGCTTCATAGTGTCCCTGGAGTCCATGGAACTCAAGTTAAGAACTTGAGATAATTAAAGCTACCTGTATTAAATTCTTTTCTTTTATTATGTTAACTATTTTCATAAGAATCATTCTAAAATACACTTCACTCTCTCCTATCTTAAACAGAACATAATGATCACAATATAACCTTCCTTGATTACTCAGGGTCATTTTAGACTTCAATCATTTCACCTGTTTTAACACTATGACAGTCTCAGGATCAAATAAGGTAAGAAGACCTTTTTATCCCAAAATTAAATGGCAGTAGATGGCTACCTATACCTCCACTACCCACATCCCTTCACCCCGACCAAACAACTTAAATTTATTTGTAAAGATGTAACTCTTTCATTTTGGTTATCAGTTGTCATTTAGGCCTCCTCCTCCTCCTCCTTCTCCATCTTCTTTCTCCTCCTAATCCATTTGTGGAATAAATAAGCAGACTCATTAAAACTTCATACAAAAGAGTATCTGTGGCTCATCATGGGACATTTTTCTTGATTTGTGGATCTCAGCTATATTCCTGATAGTTTACCAGATTGGATTTTTTTTTTTTTTTTTTTTGAGTAGGAGTCTCACTCTGTCACCCAGACTGGAGGGGCAGTGGCACGCTCCCGGTCACCGCAGCCTTGAGCTGCTGAGCTCAGGTGATCCTTCCGCCTCAGCTTTCCAAGTCGCTGGAACTACAGGCACATGCCACCATGCCCAGCTAATTTTTTGATTTATTGTAGAGATGAGGTCTCACCAGGCTGGTATTGAACCCGTGGGCTCAGGCAAAGATTGGATTTTTTTAATGACTAAAACAGCAAACTTGAGTAATCACTTTATCATTTTCAAAATTCCATGTGCTACTTTTAAAAAAATTAAACATCTGCTATCAGCTTTATCATATGGTTACATGTTTTAAAATATGTAAAAAAATTATCAAGTTTGGAAACAAATATAAAAAGCCTTACAGCAGGGCATGTGAAGGAGGAAGAGAGGTGGCTATATCCTATAATCCCAGCATTTTGGGAGGCTGAGGTGAGAGGATTGCCTGAGCCCATGGGTTTGAGACCAGCCTGGGCAACTTGGCAAGACCACGTCTCTACAATAAATCAAAAAATTAGCCGGGTGTGGTAGCGTGCACCTGTGGTTCCAACTACTTGGAAGGCTGAAGCAGAAGGATGGCCTGAGCCCAGCAGGGCGAGGCTGCGGTGACCGGGAGTGTGCCATTGCACTACAGTCTGTGCAACAGAGTGAGACTCCAACTCAAAAAGAAAGGAAGGCCGGGTGCGGTGGCTCAGCCTATAATCCCAGCACTTTGGGAGGGCGAGGTGAGAGGATTGCCTGAACCTGGGGGCTTGAGAGCAGCCTGGGCAACTTAATGAGACCTTGTCTCTACAATAAATCACAATAACTAGCCAGGTGTGGTGGCGTGCGTCTGTAGTTCCAGCTACTCGGAAGGCTGCGGCGAAAGGATCGCCTAAGCCCAGCAGGTAGAGGCTGCGGTGGCCGTGGGCGTGCCACTGCACTCCAGCCCGGGTGACAGAGTGATACTCCAACTAAAAAGAAAAAAAAAAAAAAAAAACCAAAATAAACCTCAGAAGCCATTAAAAAAAAACTTTATAAATTATAATAAAAATCAAATTGTCTAAATAGCAAAAATAACTACTATAAGCATAATCAAAAAACAATTTAAAAGAAGCATGCGCTAGCCGGGTTCGGTGGCTCAGCCTGTAATCTCACGCCTTGGGAGGCTGAGGTTAGTGAATTGCCTGAGCCCGCGGGTTCGAGACCCGCCTGGGCAATTTGGCGAGACCTCATCTCTACAATAAATCAAAAATCAGCCGGGCATGGTAGCGCACGCCTGTAGTTCCGGCTACTCGGAAGACTGAGGCGGAAGGATCGCCGGAGTCCAGCAGGTGGAGGCTCCGGTGGTCGGAAGCGGCCACTGCACTCCAGTCTGGGCGACAGAGTGAGACTCCAACTCAAAAAAAAAAAAAAAAAAAAAGAAGCATTTGCCACACATCACAGACAAGGGACTAATTTCTTGATCTAAGAGTTCCCACAAATCAATGTTTTAAAAGTTTAACCTACTAGAAAAATGGACAAAGGATATACAGATAATTAGCAGAAAATAAAATATAAATATCCTTTAATTATTAAAAAAGATCCTCAATCTCACTCCTAACAAAGCGATGTAAATTAAAAAAACAGCACACAATTTTTCACCCATCAAATTGTCAAAGATCCAAATGTTTGATAACACATTGTTGCCAAGCTATAAAGAAACAGGTACAGTCACACATTATTGGTGAGACTGTAAATTAGTACTATGTCCACAGAAATTTGGTTATAACAAAATTGTTAAATGTATATATTCTTTGACTCAGCAATTCCACTCCTAGTATTTTGTTCCACAGATATAATCCCACATGTGGCAATATTCGGTAAAATCAAGAAAGTGGAAACAAGTTAAACACATAAATAAGAGACTTGAAAATCAGTGATAATACATCATATAATGGAAAATGCTATGCAACCATTAAAAAAGAATAAAGCTGCCGGGCTCAGTGGCTCAGCCTGTAATTCCAGCACTGTAGGAGGCCGAGACAAGTGGATTGCCTGAGCCCGCGGATTTGAGACCTGCCTGGGCAACTTGGCAAGACCTTGTTTCTACAATAAATCAAAAAAATTAGCCAGCCGCGGTAGTGCGCGTCTGTAGTTCCGGCCGCTTGGAAGGCTGAGGTGGAAGGATAGCCGGAGCCCCGCAGGTCAGGTCGACGCTGGGGTCGATGAGAGCGTGCCACTGCACTCCAGTCTGGGTGACAGAGTGAGACTCCAACTCAAAAAAAAAAAAAAAAAAGAAATGCATGTGAGTATAAATGCAAAAATAACCTAGAATACATGCTAATATATCAGCAGTGGTAATTCTACAGATGTTTGAAGTATTTTTTATTTTTCCCTATCCATATTGTCTAACCTTCTACCATGCGTGTTACTGCTTTTGTAATAGTAAAAGTTTTTTTTTTTTTTTTAAGGGAGTTGGATACTACTGAATCAGGGAAGTGTCAAGTATTAAATATAAAAATAAGACTTGCTAAATGTCAGAAGGTGCAATCTTAAAATAAAAAGTAGAACATGATTAGAGATGAGAGTAAGAGTCTAAAAAGAAAAGACCTTACAGAAAAGAAATTCCAGATGTTTGTTTTGAGTTGGAGTCTCACTCCATCACCCAGGCTGGAGTGCAGCGGCTCACTCACAGCCACTCCGGCGTTCACCTGCTTGGCTCTGGCGATCCTTCCGCCTCAGCTTTCCAAGTAGCTGGACCTACAGGCGCGCGCTACCACACCCGGCTAATGTTTTGAATTCTTGTAGAGACGGGGTCTCCCCAAGTTGCCCAGGCTGGTCTCAAACCCCTGATCTCAGATAATCCTCTGGCTTTGGCCTCCTGAAGTGCTGGTATTACAAGCTTGAGCCACTGCAACCGACCACCAAGATAATATTATTTACCTTTAGAGAATTGTGATAACAAAATGGGACAACTCATGAAAAGGATTTACAATGGCATCTAGCTCATAGTAAGCTTTCAATAAATGGTAACTACTGTCATCATTTGCTTTCTTTCTGAGTCGGAGTCTCACACTGTCGCCCAGGCTGGATGCAAATGACACGCTCACGGCCACCGCAGCCTCGACCTGCTGGGCTCTGGCATCCTTCCGCCTCAACCTTCCAAGTAGCCGGAGCTACAGGCACATGCCCCCACACCCTGCTAATTTTGTTGATTTATTGTAGAGACGAGGTCTTGCCAAGTTGCCTAGGCTGGTCTGGAACCCCTGGGTTCAGGCAATCTGCCTCCGCCTTCTTAGGTGCTGGGATTACAAGTGTGAGTCCCCACGCCCGGCTATTAGTTTTCTTTAGTCAGGTATTTCTGGTACAAATTCTCATCTGTGTGCCCCCAATCCCAATAATTTCTTGACAACCTTCTTTAATAGCCTTATTTTTTAAACGGATTCAAAATTTTGTATATATATTATCTTGGTGTTTGCAGAGGGAGGATTCAGGAGACCAAAGCAAATTAACAAGAATTAAGGGGATAGGCCGGGTGTAGTGGCTCATGCCTATTAATCCCAGCACTTAGGGAGACCGAGGTGAGAGAATTGCTACCACGGGTTCGAGACCGGCCTGGGCAACTTGGCGAGATCTCATCTCTACAATAAATCAAAAAATTAGCAAACAAATTTGATCACACGGAGGTAGAGAATGAAAAGATAGATAACAGAGACTAGGAAGGGTTAGTGAAGGAGGGAGAGAGAAGGAAAAAGAGAAATGGGGTAGAGGGTACAAGCATACAAGTAGATGGAAGAATCAAATTTAAAGTTTGATAGCAGAGGAGAATGACTACAGTTAACAAAAATGTATTGTATTTGGGTGATTAACACCCTAAATACTGTGATTTTATTACTAGAAGTAATATATAGGCAATGAAACTTCACTTGTACTCTATAAATGTGTAAAAAGCAAAATTAAAGAGAGTTTCAAAATGAGAGAGAAAAAAAATTAGCCGGGCGTAGTAGTGCATGCCTGTAGTTCCAGCTACTTGGAAGGCTGAGGCAGAAGGATGCCTGAGCCCAGCAGGTCGAGACTGCGGTGGCCGTGAGCGTGTTATTGCACTCCAGCCTGGGCGACAGAGACTCCGACTCAAAAAAAAAAAAGAGGATAAAAGTGTGAGACCATACAAGTGAAGGGCGACAGAGAATGGTAGGGATATATCTTTAAAAGACCACAGTGAGTGTGTGTGGCCAGGAAGGTAGATTGTATAAGAGGAACACGAAAGAGCGCACACAGAGAAAGGAAAAGTTGCAGATGCTGACTGAGAAAGGAAGAGTTGGGCAGAAAGGGGAGGAGCTTCTTGGGAGGTGCAGCCAATAGGGAGAGAGGGGCGGGGCTTAGAGGGAGGTGGAGGAGCGACCAATGGGGGCTAAAGAGGGAGGGGCTTAGAGGGAGGTGGAGGAAGACCTGAAGGGGATATGGAGGAGCAAAGGGGAAGGGGCCAGAAGGAGCTAAGAGGATAAGAGCCAAGAGGAAGGGAAAGAGAATGAGCTGAGAGGGAGATGATGGAGTAGCCAAGAGAAAGGAGGAGGGGGAGGAGCTGAGAGGGAGTTGATGGAACAAAAAGGGGCGAGGTAGGGAGCTTAGGAGGGGGAGGGGCCAAGATGAGGGGGCGGAGCCTAGAAGGAGAAGGAGGGGCCGAGAGGAAGTTGGCAGAACACAAAGGGGAGGAGTAAGGAGCGGGGGGGGGGCAAGATGGGGGGGGGG